AGGGTTGTACTGTACTTCGATATAAAGATAGCCTTTGTTAGGGTACTTCATTATCTAATTAACAGATTTTAGTCGATCAGAATTACTTACCTTCTATTGCAACGGACTGAACCTTTTCACAAGAATAGACACCAAATGAATAAAATTAAATCTATGACATCTTCACCTTGACCGATAATCAGTGGTTTTGTACAGCGTAGTGTCACGAGTCCACTGTTTTTTCATAATTTACACCAACAATATATGCAGATGCTCGAACAAAAGGAAGACATGTTTTATGCTTATTACTTAAAGGAATCCATAAAGCTAACGTTTGAGAGGTACGCAGTATTTCGTACAAAATTCCGCATGAGTTCAATAAGGTACGTACATAGTGTAAGAGATAGGGCATAGACCTCATCAGAAACATTTGAGGCTGGCAGTGTATCGGAGACACATCTGTCAAGATAAAATCCACCTAACAAGAACCGACTACTCAAACATGTACCTGCAACTGACCTTGTGCTGCGTTACTCGTGTAGTCTAAACTTCCCTAAATATATCTCCTCCAAAGCATCTGGAATGCGAAAATTGCTAGGTTCCATTCCTCCCTAGAATCATTCTTCACAAGATATACGTAAGACTTGTCGTTGGATTATGCCTGTTCTTATCTTCCAAATTTCGCCTATCAAATAAAATGACGATAACAGGAATAAAACGGAATTTATTTGAGAAATGCCTAAAATTGATAAACCCATTGACTATCGCTCTCGAAGCCATACTTTAGGATTTCAGCCTCTCTGGAATCAAAGGCTTAGGTCCAATTCAAATCTCCCATACGAGTTCCTCGAAAATCTTGCTTCACTTTTAATATAGTCATTAACCGAAGCCCAAATATATATGACTTTGGAGATAACTTATATATTGGTTAAAGTTGAGAAATACTAGGCAACTCAGGAAACCTTCTTCTTCATCAAGTGTGCATTAATTCAGAACAGTCTTCCCTCAGAAATGAGCATTGAAGATAGGTTCCATATGTCTGTAAGACTTCTTGATCAAACCCTTGCTTACACCGTCCTACCAGCACGTAAGAACACATCTAGGCAATATTAAGATAACGAAAGCAACTTATATATCCCAATCATACTGGACTCTGAGTTTTGTCTCTCTTCATCTACTGCGAGTTCGTATTAGACGAGTCGCCGTTGCTATATGTCCTCCCACCCTAATTTTTACTGCGAGTTGATGGGTAACTCACTGCACCAAAAGATACTACCTAGAAGTTACCATGTGAAATTCACAATTTTCTGCCTACCGCTAATGGTCTTTCAACTAGAGATCCAGTAAATCATCCCCTTGTTCCGGTAGCACAAAACACCATCAACTCAAATGTAATGTGGGTGTCTTTCCGTTTACTTTTTATCAATATACTACTTTCGCGCTCACTTTATTGATTTATCATTAGTTACATTCCACTAAATTTAGCCAAACTCATTACTGTTATATTCCTACACATTTCCTACTGCTTTGTTGAAAAGTCATCGGGAGTTTTAACTTCTCAAATGATTTCACTTTGTTTCAAAACCCATATTTTATACTATAGTCATTTAAAGGATTGAGTCGGGGCCTTACCCCCACTCCATTATTTGCAAATGTCTAGTATGTTTGTAATAGAGTACTTGTAGGAACAGAGTGTCCTAACAGAATATTAAACATAGAGCCTCCAGTAAGACATAATATTTTGTCTGGAAACCACTTTTAATGAGACTAAAATTACAATGGTATGGGTGGAGTTGCCGAATTGCAAGCCATGATATCCTATACGACTGATTTAGACGACGGTGTGCGGTAGAGTATGTTCCCTTTAATTACACAGTTCAACGAAAATAAACCAACTCAAAAACAGTTAAAAATAGAAACAAGATATAATTGTTCAATAATAACTAAACTGGGCGAAAAACTAAGAAAATGTTGTGCTAGACGATAACAAACAAATAAAACCTACAAAACGTCAGTATAAAAAATACCATTTGGCTGTAAATTGCATCTTCATATTCAGCGAAGTAGTTCACAACACTCCCTGAGAGTTATTTTATTCGGGTAAGAACTGTGGCTTCCGAGAGCCTGTTTCGAATTCTATATGGTATGCCTTAGCTTGTGCACACAGAGTTCTTTAAGAGTTGATTACTCGTCCATAAATGACTATCAGCAAACGAATTGAACAGCTCTGAAAATTACCCATTTAGCATATCGAGTTCGATTACTTCTGACAACCACACAAGCTTCTAAAGTCTTTTATAGTCAGAATGTTGGATAAGCCGTATCCAAATTCCCTTGTACATCAATCTTCATACGATTTAAAATACTGTCTTTTTATTCAAATAAAACTAGGTCTCATACTCTTGAAGTTATTATACAGATACTGTTAAAAAGTAATGGGGTGCATTTTTAGTAACGTGATACTTATCGAAGTTGATCATCATAACTTTGTAGTTCATTAATTCGATAAAATGGTTCATAGCTAGAGATTTAACGTTGTAACTTGCAGTCTGCTTGAGACAAATAGTGCCTTAAATCAAATTAAATGTGCAAATCACAAACATAACTTATCTGTTTGGATAACGAATCTATTCCAGTTGGACAGAAATCTTGTGGTGTGAATTATATCGGAGTCACACTTCACGGTTGAGGACCAACCTGTTCCATCTTGTTATGATATCAAGGCTTTTTACCTACTTGTTGGCTGCGTGGAACGAGCATGGTCTCACCAACGAAATTTATTATACGGAAAAGCTGCAGAAGTACGTAGTACAATCGCTAGCGCATGCGCCAGACTACAGTGTGCAAGTGACCAGTCAGGGTTGATCTAAATGGTGTTTCGACAGCTGTCTAACGTTCAGCAATCTGCAGCGTACTGTGTCTAATATCCACCTTGATTGTTGACTGGTCTAACACTCGGTGACTTATCACTGACCCTACAAGTACGTGATCTGTGTATCTACATTTGAATGACGAGGTTATATAACTGACAAAGTGCTATTTAATAGGCGATAAAATTACTTATTGGTTATCCCCCAAGTCAGGCCAGTATGTAGTCTGACAGTTATTAGATTTGATTTATATTTTCCGACTCCTGATTTTTGTTATTTTCGCCGGCTGCTGGTTTTGAACCATACTCACGTTCTGGTGAGGTCAATCACGTGTTCGTGTTCAGAGTTTCGTTGAAGTCCAGTAGAGTACATACTGGCACAGTGTCTAGTGTAGAAATTCGTCTAAGGAAAGGTAATATCCCATTGATGTAAACGATAAGACTGAACCACTTAAAATATATTATCCCGGAAACAACTCTCAGAAATCAATTTTTGGATGGGAGTTTAAATTTTAATCTAACTAAGCCGGATGTAGTCAAACTGACGGATTGAAATGAATAACATTTCAGCCGCATCATCTGGCGAGTTTCAGCCTAATTGGTCCAAACCCGGTAGCCAGGCCTTAAACTGACAGGACCTGGTCAGTAAAATCCCTTGCTGATAAGACGGGCTAAAAATAACTTTTTATGTATAGCATACAACTTTAGGGCAGCCCATATTGGTAATATGTCGCGATATGGTTTAACATCCATAGTCTAGACAAAGTTCGGTAAATCATTCAATGTTTTAACATCCAGTTCATTTAAATTTGCACATTAGGGAGAATACAATGTACGAAGTATGCTATTCCTCAGTCGAAATAATGATATTATCTGATTTTACTTTGTTGACATTTCGGTTTTATCACTAAGCCTTCTTCTCCTGATATTAGTGTAGTTTGTGAAGCTATAATAATAACAAATATTTAGCGCAAACTTACCGTTTAGACAAAGCTGTAAGTATTAGTTTCTCTTCAATTCACTGTTGACTTCACAACAATTTAGATAGGAATGCACCATTATTATAGAATGTACATGGATATTGTTGTAAAACGAACCGAACGTTTTTTCTGATTGAAATTCTTCAGTCTCTTCGGAATAATTTGCCGCTGTGTTTCTCCCAGAACTTTAGGTGACATGACCTACAAAATATTTAGAACCTTTTGAGTGCTTACTAAAGAACTATTATTGAGGAACCTATTCTGGCATGTCTTTTTACCCCAAGAACTATATAACTCTTTTAGATTAGAACCACTTTAAAAAGTACTTTAAATGAATATGCAGCTCTCTTACGTAAATGATCTTTGTCGAATGACTTGGGGGCCTGCTCTAGTCAGACGGGAATGAAGTGATCAAATAGCTAACGACGAGTTCATGTTTCGCGGTTAGAGCCTAACGCGGATAACCCTTTTGTTCTGTTCATATACTATGGTCCGTTTGATGATCGTGAAACACAAGCGACGTTATTAGAGAAATGCAATAGTAACACTAAGAGCAGATCGCGACTACTGCAATTAATTGATGATTGTTGGTTCTCCTTGAAAATGATGAGGATCGGTAAACTGTTCGATTTTCAGTGACCCAGCTTCCGGATTACTTGGCTAAGGCTCAGTGACATTTCACTTAATGGTTTAAATTGTTTAATCCGGTTGGTGTTTTTCAGGGAGATTTTTTTCTACGGAATGGAGCTGCCGACCTCATACCCAATTCCATCCTTTACCCGGGGTTGGGACCGGCATTAACTCTTGAAGAGCTATAAGCAGAGTTGTGACATTTAACTAGCCATACAGACATTAGATTCAGATTACATTACAAATGCAATTTGTGCAGCCGTGAACAGCTAGATGGAATCTGATCATGGTGCATTATATGGCTTATGATAATTTTCTTCCAACTGGATTATCAATACGATCCAATAATAAACTAAAATAAAAGGAGAGTGACGAAAGAGTTGGAACAAAATAACACGAAAGCTTTGGCATTCAGAATCACAACAAGAATTATTTATCTACGCACCCGAAAACCCAATTCATCAACCGAGATGCAGTTCTCAATGGACTTATAATTCTCCATTTTTTGTTCATGAACGTTTGAGTAAGTAAGGAACTAATGACCTTGGAAAACGCACTAATTTAGTGTAACGCCGCACTCTTATGTGGCCGGAGGTTTTACTGTGCCTGTTTTCTTCAGCAATTTACTTTAATTCTTTGGGATGCGGATTCGTTTTTGATGATGTGTCTGCTATTAGAGACAACCGAGATTTACGCCCGTCTACAAGTTTAGCAGAGCTTTTCAAAAATGATTTCTGGGGGACTCCTATGAATGAGGTTTGATGGAAATCGTTCTAAGTATTATTTTGTTAGGAAAGAAGCCATAAGTCATATAGGCCGTTCACTGTCCTCACATTTAGAGTTAACTATTTGTTTCATGAACTTAGTCCTACAGGATATCATGCCACAAATATCGTCCTTCATTCTGTCGTCGTGTTTTTGTTTTTCAAGTATCTTTGGGTTCCGAATAACACTTTAGATTGTGTTTGTGCTATTTGCAGAGGGAATCAGCGTTTTTCAGCTCTATTTTATTCTCTGCACATCCTGTTCACACGGAAGCTGTATGAAGAAATTAGCTAAAAATATTTTTAGGTTACTGGAGTTGTAGGAAGAGCTGAACTTCTATCCTCGGTTTTTTTCTTATCTGCTTTGCTGCTTTACATAAAAGTTTCGAATGCTTCTGCACAAAGTAAGTTTCATATACGGTTTTCATAATGTGCTTTCTTAGCCAGTGTTCGTCCTTAGGCGTTTTTGTCATTCCACATTAAATTATTTTGATCAGTGACACGTTTCACGGTTGTCCTTACGTTAAAGGAATTATATGACTATGTATATCGGCTGTGATGAAGACACTTGATAAAATGTTATAAGATGTACATGAAGAAATAAAAACAATCGACATTAATGAATGTGGTTCAGACACAAATAAGATAAATTCCATTTGGCTTAGAATCCCCCCAAAATTTGTGAAGAATACAAAACAAAGGAGCTACAGAACTCACTTTCAATCAAAGTAGTTTTTCACAAGCTTCTGGTTTGTATCATTTGGGACCTTATCAAGAAACCAAATGAAACGATGAGTTTCGACAGCAGACATGTATCCCTAAGGAACGATGTGCGTTATACTTAAATTAGCATGCATTTTGTTTGGTTTTATCAAACCCTTCGTAAGATTTTTGCATTACCTGTAAAAGGCGAAAGTGACTAAGTACGCTGTAAGGTTAGGACTTTCTTTTGGGTTTCATAATTGTTTTATGAGTTCTTCATTTTTTGAATCCCTATTTTACTTCTTCTATAGACTTCTTGTATTTAGCTCCGTCCTACCCTTCTAGTTTTCCTCCTAGGTTTGACAGTTCGTGGTTATGAAGTGCTGTCTCTGCTTTTTCAGAACTATCCGTATCCTCTCACGCAACTCAGATAAAATAAAAGACAATTTCTACTCATAATTTTCTAGTTTCCCTTAGAAAGCTAGATTTACGGATATATTGACCGGCGTTTTTAAAACCAAGGAAAACCCAAAGAAAATTCAACTGTAGACCGGTAAGAAGCTTGCGTAATAATGATCATATGCAGTGGTGGTTGATAGAAGCAAAAGAAAGGAGAAATATGGCATCTTTAATAGTTTTCGGACGATATTGAACGGAAGTCTGCTTACAGTATATTAATGAGTTTATAATCTGGTTTTATCAATTGATGGAGTAGTGGGCTTTATTAATCATTCACAATCGGTATTTTAACGATCATTCGTTAACTCTGTCTTGAGTGTCATGGATTAGGGTGTACTTCCTAAAGAAACCTCTGAGCTGAGAATAACAAATAAAATCTATATTGATACATGTTAAGTTGTGACACACTATTTGAAAAATATACTTACGAGAGGAAATCTACTGACTTTTTCAGTCACTGATAGCTTGCAAATAAATGATAATCCACAGGACTGAATGATTTACCATCCGATAATAATTCATTATTCTCTTATTTTGCGCCTGGAAGTGTGAGAAAATAAACATGAATGGGTATTCCTCAACCTTTAGTCTTAATGATGCGACAGATATTCAGCACCTGACAAAGATTTTGTCTTTAACGCCTTTATAATCAAGGGATACCAACCCAGTCAAATAAGAAGTCAGAGATTAGTGATTTCGAAGATATAAATATAAAGAAGCGTTTGATCTAGGCTCGCTAGCAGTTGCGAGAGGTGTGTAACACGACGTACTCAATCGTAATCTGATGCGGATGAGTAACCGAGTGTCTTCATCAGGGTGGTGTCCAATAAAACCAACCAAGGTCAGCACCAGTGTCGAAGACTTGACTATTTATTTTGGGGATTTATTCACTGCTACAATCTTGATAAAAATGATATTCAAATCTCCCTAGATGTTCACTGAAACCATGACTTTGGGATTCCATGTTTTGATTCTCTACTAGATGGTTCTTGCAGTAGTGAATAATTTCTTGTTTCAAAATCCACTTTGATTAGTTTTTGTAACCACGTCACTAATTCATTATTATCTAACAAACAAAAAACAGTGTAACTGTAGTTTACCTTAATAACTGTTCCTGGACGCCCCAAAAATGTTTAGTCCTCGTTCTGAAGAACAACAAGGATCAATAATAATACTAATTATAGTTTTCCAGTCGAAATAATCTTTTGCCTTCCCGTAGAGTAAATACTTCATTCCTGCAGTATTTTCCATCCCTCTCGGCTCATTTATTCTTTTTATCTTTTACAGTGTAGTTTGTCGAATCGGGCTACCTGAATTGGCATGAAATTGAACCAAGCTTATACATTGATACACTAATTATGTTAATACAATTAACAAAGTTTTATGTACAGTTATACCTTATTACTATTGATCCTTCAGGTTAACGGTCTTTGGTATCAACGGGGTGATATTTCTCAAATGGTCAAAAATGGTTCACTTCATAAATTACTGTTTGCAAGCCTTTTGTAAGAAATAAATAGAATATAGTTACATTTGTAAAATGATAGACAAGTTGAACATAGAATGTAACAACTAACTGAGTCAATAGCTTAACAATGATATCTTGGATTTATTCTTTCCAACTGTGTTTCACATATTGTCAATTTCTATTATCTCATTTAGTAGCTTTTACTGTTCTATGGATACGTGTAGTGTCTTTCATGTGTAGTAAGCAAGTAACACGTCAATAAACTAACCTTTTACTCTCTATAGGTCACACAATTTTAGGTATGAAAAAATGCTCAACGTAAAAATATAAATCTGAATAATTATCAAGTTGGGATGTTTTTGTGTTTTTCGCTTTGTGAACGTAACTTTTATTTTCTGTCCTGGATGTTCGGTTTATCTTTGTATTCAATCGCAAACGTAGGTGTCTGTTTTTCAAACACCATTGTTTAACAAGGTATTCTACATTTCTCCATAGGTTTTTGGGCGAATTTGATTAACGTGCTCACAGTGGGCTTTTTAATATGTGTAGGAACATTTTGCAAGGAACAGTGTATCACCGTCTTCGGGATTTTTATCGCTTACGAACTTTATGCCGTTTATCAAGTAAGCCGCATTGTTGATTACCCATATTTCTAGAAAATTTTATCAAGTGGACATGACTTCTCGTCTAATAGTTTCAAAGACCATTGCCAAAAAGACAAAACGTTCAAGGATATAGTTTCATCTGCTTATAAAAAAATTCAGTTTAAGTTGTTTTCACCAGCGTGGTTTTCATGTGCACCCGTCTACAGAATGTTCATTCTTCTAGTGTTTTTCATTGCTATATTGATTGCACGTATTAAAATAATGGCTGGACAGTTGCCACATTTTACAGAGTAGGTAGCACTGATTAACATACCTTTTTTCTTACTATTTTTTATTAATCATTATTGTCTAATACGTTTGTAATCCCCCATATTTTTAATGGTATGGTACTGATAGTGCTTTTCAACACTCATTGTACGTGCGTATATAAGTTTGTTATTTCGTTGAAAGATGTGTGGTTTGTTGATTCATCATTTAATCACATATTTCAGCGCATCTAATTGTGAAGCATTTCTCAACATTTTCTGTTGTATCACTGGGTTTTCCTAATAGTTTAAATAAGAATTTTTCTTTGTCTGGGATGATAGGCATCAGAATTGCAAGACTATAAGTGATAAAACTCAATGAACTTAATCCTCATTAAATTTTGAATAATTCAGTAATATCCATTGTCCTTGACTATCTAGCTGAAGTCCTTTCGTGGTGTAAAACTAAAAATATTCATTCAACCTTCTCACCTAGTATATTTTTGTTTGTTTCATTCTCTTTAGATTTTCGTTTATTATGCTGTCAAATCCATTCACTTCTATACACAGTTGAAATGTTGATATGTTTAGCTGCATCAAAACCTCTCTGTTCAGATTGTATTTTTAACATTGCTCGTTCATATTCCCTTGGTTTTGATAATCTTAGCAGTTGTTAATGTACTCAAAATTGTTTGATTTTATTACTTACATCATATCTTACGTTTTATTAGAGTAGACTATTTCATTCCTGTCACTGGGCTCTAACGCTTATATGTAGAGGGGTAATTGCTGATCATTGTATGCACTTACTTATGATTCTTAAACTGCTGTATCTTTTGTATGTAGGTTTGATAACCCAGCTTCTCATGCACCTCCACTGACTCGTCGCCTCACTCATCTTTACCTGGTTCCTGTTAATCTAGGCTTATTAATATTCCCTTCTAATCTCTGCGCTGATTGGACTTTGGGAAGTCTAAAGCTTATTCAAGGCTGGGCAGATCCACGTAATATTTTGACGCTGATGGCCTTCAGTTTCATCTTATTGCTAGTTTTCATTACTGTTAATTGGAAAACACCTTTACATCAAGGTCGAGCTGTATGTATGGTATGTTATTTTTATAGCGTATTGTTCATCACTTATTCTTGAGAAAGTTTTGCGTGTGAAAAAAGGATGCATAATTTATCAGTATGCGTTTTATTCTCACTTGTTGTAACTAAAGCAGCTTAATATTAGGTCCTGATTGTTTTATTTTTGTTGGTTAATTTATGATACTGGACTGCAGTTAACCAAGGTTTTATTATATGTCATTCTTTTCATAGGCTCTGAGTTTGATGATATTTCCCTTTATACCAGCCAGTAATTTATTTTTTCCCGTTGGTTTCGTTGTTGCTGAGCGTGTTTTATACACACCAAGTTTGGGCTTTTGTCTACTTATTGGTTTGGGTTTTGAAAATCTAATTGGTCTTAAGTTTATCCAGACAAACACTATGAAAAGTTCAAAATCATCTGAAGTAAAGAAAGTTTGCAGGTAATATAAATTTCAAGACTTATTCTGTTGGCTTTTAAACACTGACTGAAATTCTTTTTCATAAATCCACACTAGGTTTATTCAACATTGGTTATGCTCAAAGAGAGATTCGTTTTTATGTTTAATTTCAGTCGGCAGCTCTGAACGAAACTTTATTTTGTCATCTAAAGTTTGTAGCGAATATCCAACTAATATGATAGTTTTACTACTAATCGAAACCAGTTTATCAACTATTGAGAATCAGACATCACTGAGTGTCATTGTATGGGGCCTAATAAGGAGTTCTTTCTCGGGATCGTGACAAGTCTTTTATTATTAATTTTCTATGACCACTAAACTGCTGGTCGATGAAGGCCAAAATGCTCAGTATTATTTCAATATCAGTTTGTTCAGTATACGGTAACTCACTTCCTAGTTAAGCACAGAGGTCTCAATCGACAGCCGGAACCCTTCGTGTGACCATTAGCTCACGGGTTTGATTGCATACCGAATCCATAGTTAGCTACGATAAGCCCTTTCAAATCTAAAATAAATGTCCGACAGACTTTAGTTTTTAAGTGTACACAAGCTGTCGTAACTGTTGGGATTTACAAGTTCGGTCCAGTCACAATACATAAGCTTTTTTAAACGCTTGACCGAACCGATAAGGAAACTAAAAATATGTTGAGAGGTTTGTGCTAGAGACTAAGTAATTATGTACATAAATCATATGCGTGGATAGTATTAGAATGATTCAGATTAAGAAATATAGGTGGTGAATAATTATCACAGTCATACTACCTTGCCGGGCTTTACCTTCCTCACTTCTATGTTCCCTTGAGACAACATGTAATTTGTATTAAATCGCCCCGCCTATAGTAAGCCTTTAGTGATAACTGTCTGAGCATACTTGATTTATCTTACCAAATTTGAATTATCTTCTTCACTACAACCAGATGGCAGAATAAAAGCAGACCTTCTAGAGCGTTTTTAGATATTGTATGCTTCTTTTTTTCCATTTAGATGAAAGAAAACAGCAGAACCCCTGATCAAAGTCATAAAACAAATTTGTCTTAATCTCTATTAACTCATACAAATTTTATGAACATTTAAATGTCTTAGTATTGTTATTATTCGGGAGAAGACTAAATGGATGGTAACTGCCAGGATTGATCTATGGACCAGGCGCATATATGCATCGATCCAAGTTGCCATACCTTATTAGCACAGCAAGATGAACACCGGATTCATAGAAGTAGTTAGTTCAGTGGTAATATATAAAAGAAATATTGCATATAATTGCATATAGTACAGGAAGAAAGAATTAGGTCGTAGAAAGAAAGATATGAAGTGATTTTAATCTCTTAGTTTAAGGGAAGACAAAGAGTGTATACACCGACGCCACTGTGATCGATTCTGAGCCATGTCGCTAAGAGACTCCGACCATTGGTTACGATAGTGGCGCCGACCCCAACCAACTAGTCTGCATCTACCAACATGGCTCAGACTAGAAGTTAGTGCCTTCGAGTACTGATGTCAAGTTTTGGTTTGGGCGCCCCTGACTTTCTTCCAACGATCCCCTGACATCATTAATTCTCTGCTGCATATCAGTCCACGATGAATTCTAGGTATTCGTTCTGTCATGACAGGGAAGCTTCTTGCCTGCGACCAATTCTTTGAACTATGCACTAAATTCACCAATGTAGACGATGTTTCAAGACAGTACTTTGCTCACTGACTATCTATAACTTGTGTCATATGACAGTCCATGGTTTTTGGTCAATTCTTCTGAGATTTCTTGTTACATTTTTATCTATTCCTCCGTGGTCACGATGGCTGATTTGGTGAATAAAGGAGAGTCAGAATTTTTATCAAAGTTTTTGCATTCAATTACGTAAACTAAATGTGGTAAGTTTGAACATACTTTTTAAAACAACTTATTAAACTTCTAATTTTGGATTCCATATATGTTTTTAGCTTCAAAAATGGTCTTCACTCTCGAAAATATCCTCGAATCTCAATGGGACTAGTCATTATCGCATTCGTTTGTAAGACTGTTAGACGCAATACAGACTGGTATGCTTCTTTGAATATATCTGTCAGTATATATCATTCATTTTTTGTTAATATATGTAATAAAGCATGGATAAAATGTTCTCTCTATCCTGACATCTAAATTGTTTTGTTACCCGTTGAACAAGTTGATATTAATTTCAATGGTTAAGATCATGAGTCAGTTGAAGCTAGACCACCATGGAAAACCTGGAAGCACTGGACGGCCGTTTCATCCTATTGTGGGACTCCTCAGCAGTGCGCATCCACGACCTCGCCCCCTACGAGATTTGAACCCAGGACCTACTGGTTTCGCGCCCGAGCACTTAACCACTAGACCACTGAGCCGGCATCCAACGGCGTTAATGTCTGACTTCAACTAATCCACGAAATTGAGCGACACATTCACCATTGTCTTCAGTGAGTTACTACCTCACAACAGACCTGGTTGAACTCCACTGGTCACTACTTCTCACTAGAACTCCAGGATACACCTCGTGAAGCCAGTCACTAGTGAGCACATTTTTGATTAATATCAGATGGGTTTTTGTGGAGATTGTAGTAATTTCAATGGTTAAGATCATGAAAATATGGAAATTATGGAAATATTTATAGTGGACGAAAACTTGGTGGAGAAAACCAGTTTATTGTTTGATGAAAAATCCCACAGTGGCTCAGTAAAACATGAAAATCATACATTAAGTACATTATTTGCACATATTCCATCAGTTGGCCTGTACATACTTCTTGATTCTTCTAATTCTGTTTTTATTCATATTGCCTTCTGTTTCCCTCCTTGTTCTCATCGATTCAATCTTCTGCTAGCAAGCATTCCACTTTCAATCCCTATTACATACTACTTATGTATGTCCGCATAACTAGCATACGCTACATATTGTCGAATATCTCGGTATCAAGTCTGACGACTCAAACTTCACTATTATGATAATCGTTTGCCAAAAGAATAAAGTGATGTGAAACTCGATTCATGTGGTCAAAATACATTGGTTTTTGTTGTGGTTGGATGCTTTTTATTTATCAACACCGCTTTTGTAACGTTAAGAAGATCCAAAACAGAAGAATGAGGCTCCTAATGAATTACATCTGTGCTGAGTAATACAACTCTATCATCCTTAAGTTATTCTTATCTTCTGCTGTGTGCCTTCATTATTTTTGAGGCTAAAAATTTTAATTATCTTGGATTTTCTAGGTCGAACGAATACAATCTGTTTACATCAGCGTTAAAAGTAAATCCTAACAATGCCAAAATGTGGAATAATGTGGGGCATTCTTTGGAAGCTGAAGGAAAGTACTCAGAAGCACTTGGCTACTTTAGAAAAGCTGTCAAGTACGTTTCATATTCTCTCTAACCCACATTTCTTTTGTGCCTAGCAAATCTTTTATATCAGACCATTAAGTATAAGATAGATATCTGTCATTAACTTTAATATTGCCTGTGGTCGATAATTATCATTTCACAACAAATAGTTTCTCTGATAAATACTTTCGCTTCAATTCCTTGTATTAACTTACTCTACCATAAACATAATTTGATGTAATCATAATTCATTTCAGTTGTCTAAATAGGCACATATCTTCTCGAGGTTTCAGACGATCCTTGTGAATTTGCCATAACAATAAAAATCTCTGTTCCGAGCTTTTCATTGATTTCCTCAGATTGATCATGGAAGATTATTATCCATTATTTTCAAATGTGTCAGCTGTATCCTCTGACTTTTGGTCCATCTTTAATTGATTTAACTCAGTCATCGATTTAGCAATGTTTAATTTAACCTGGTAATTTCTTAACATATACTTTTTATACTAGCCTCTCATTTCCTTTTGTAACCAAATGTTTTTTTCGAGATGGGGTTGTAGGTAAATATTATTTTCTATAGGTAAAATCAATTCGTCTTTCGAATTCGATAATCTCACTTTAATCCGACATGTTCCGTCTGGCTAAAACCGTATTAATAACTTTCTATGCATTTAACGTTGACATGTCTTCTAATGGAACACTAATTATTATATCTGATCGTCGCGGATTATTATGTCGGAATCACTTATCACTTATACTCGAAAACGAGGAAACACTGCAATTCCCACGACGCGAAAGTAAGAACACCACAACTGATACAAGTAAAGATTTATTAACCCCGTAACACGACGACGACCGTAGTCGAAAATACATATTTATATATTGATTTGTACATCCATTTCAATTATTAATTAGTACGAATCACATATATGAAAAATACATAGAAGTATCCCATGCTACATGTCATACTGTGCATGGTTTATTTCAATTGAATACAAGAATATCGTCTGTCATACCGAATAAAATATCAAAAGGGAAACAAAACAAATACTACACAAAGTAATTATCACACTGAATTAAGAAGGAAGTAACGTTGAATAAAATATTACAATGAGTAAATCAATCTAATTTTGACTTTTATTCCCGTCATATCAAACGTATACTAAATTTCGTAGCCAGAAATTTCCTCATCATAAAAATCTTTCTACTCTGCTTAAAATCTGCAGAATAATTATACATAATAATTTCATTGTATACCTCTAAATTATGCATATTCTGTAGTGTTCAGCCAAATGATATGGGCGCTCGAATTAATGTTGGCCGCACATATGTAAACCTGGGAATGCCAGATAAAGCAGAAGAAGCGTATTACGGAGCGCTTGAATATTTCCCTAAACCAAAGAAAGGTATGCATGCTGTTTTTTAGTAATAAAAATAACTAGAAACCAAGATTAACGCTGTAGTGAACAAGAACACGGGTGGGGACAACCGATTGTATTTAGCACAAAGATTATAGACTATCTCAATAAAATGTGAATACCATAAAGTCAATCGTCAATTTGCAAAATATCATTCCATCATATCAAACTGTACTGTTCCCGTTGCAAACACTATTCCATTGTACATGTGTTTTCTTACAATTCCATTGTGCTCTTGCTCTTCCTTTCTTGATCTTCGCTATCTTCTGCTGCCGGACCTTACGTTTATTTAACGCACGTTATATACTACTTATATGAATATAAGTAGCTCACACCACACTCGTCCCCCCCTTAAAGCAGTCGTTCTTGTGGTGGTTCATGCTCGCCGTGCAACATTCTCCGTCTCTGCAGTCTGTGCCACGCTCTCCGTCAAGATGTCGAGTCTGCGGCGCGCTGACTTCCACAGCTCTGTCGACCTGCCGGGGTAACAACAACCAACATCCACCCGGCACTTGGGACGCTTGACATCCGCACCCCACCGGCCTGCTGAGCCATCTTCTGCTGCCGGACCTTACGTTTATTTAACGCACGTTATATACTACTTATATGAATATAAGTAGCTCACACCACAACGCTTGTTAACCCAATTAATCTGTAGAAATATTGTAACGCCTGACATGGACGAACTGATAATTTATTGAAAGGATCAACTACCAAATACCAACTTCATAAATTTTCTTCTTGTGCTCTACTAATTACGAACCTGTTGACACTAAGCTGTATGCTTCAAAAGCAATCAATAGTCCATGCAACTTCTATCTCGTTCCCCCAACTACCAATCAGAACCCTAGGAAGACTATATAAGTACCCCATACTAACCTGGACTGTTTGAATTTTAACGTCCATGTGATTATTCACATAAAATGCAGAATTGTGGTGCACAATACTTACAAAACTAATACATTTAAGATACAAATATGAATAACAGTTTTATAACTAATTAACAGTAATTTGTATGAAAAAATATATGGCGATAATTGGTGTCAGATAGAATTTTAGAACTAGTACAGTCTAGAATTGTATACACTGATGCACTGGAAGATAGCTTCGTAAGTTTCCCGTTTCCATTTATTTGCTCATCCATATTACACTTGAGATTTTAAAATGTAGAACCTTTGAAGAATTAGCTATATAGATATATTAAGTACTTGGAGCTGTTATGTATATGAAAAAATACTGAAACAAAATCGTATGACCTTTATTTGCTTGTCACGTAAAAAATAAATAACTAAAAGTGGAAGTAACTGTCTCAAAAACCAATGTTTATTCAATTGTGCTCGTTATAACAGTTTTCGATGAGTTAATGTGGTATTGGCTATTGTCAGTGTAATCTGAATGTTGTAAAGTATATTTTCATGGATTATGTAGTTGGATGGTTTGATGAAAAGAATTCCTTAGCTGATAGAAAATGTTGTTACACAGTTGAAGTAGTATTAATTGTTAAGTCTAAACGTATCAGTAATTATGATGAGTAAAAAAGGTGCTGAATAACACTATTATGTTGCGGTTTATCAATTTAAGTACCCAACCCTAAACTCAATTATATCAAGTGTTTTAAAAGGGTTTCCTTCACAAAGATTTTGTGAGAAGGTAATATTACTAAGTTGTACACCATAAATATGACCTTTAGTATACCAACTTATATACAGTTACTTGAATTGCACTATAAAGTCTAGAGAAAAATTTGAGATTAGCGACTTTATTCGGAAATATCCGAGAAATTATCTCATTATAATGGTTTTACTTTACTTTTTCTTAGGGTTCACCGTCGGACTTTGATTTGTATTTGCTTGTCATAATCGTTTCTCTTAGCTCGGTCGTCTACTTAAAAGAATCCCTATATTTCTAGTACAAATGCTTCTGGTTTCTCAACACACTTGAAGCGCGACGACAATTTATTTCTGTATGTTGTATCATAACAAATCGGAGTTAATTATTAAAAAAATATAAGGCTACTAACCTTGCTTCCAAGACATTCTTGAGCTTATTATGAGTCAGTCAGTCAGTCAGTAACAACGTAGAACTTCGTACGTACGTACATCAGTTCGAGTTGCCAACCCACATTAGCACAGAGATGCAGTTGTCGATTCAAATCCCGTAGTGGTAGAGGTAGTAAGAGTATAAGCAGTAATCGGAAAGATTAAGGTTTGGAGATGTTATTTAAAGAGTATAACCCAGTGAAATGAATTTGGGAAGAGAAAAAAAAGAGACAAGGAGGAATCGGGAGATTAGAATTTGTGAGAACACAAAGAGTGTATGCACCTGCGCCATTGCAAACGATTTTGAGCCATGTCATTCAGGGTCTCTAACCGTCGGTTGCTATTATCTCGTGGTCCCCAACCAGGTAGTCTACACCTACCAACATGACTCAGTCCACTTGTCAGTGACTTCATGGACTTGTGCCATGTTTTGGTTTGGCCGCCCCTAGCTTTCTTTCAACCTACTCCTATAACACTGAACATAGCGCGTCGAGGTAGTCGGTCGTTGGGCATACGTAACACGTGTCCCAGCCATCTCAACTGATGAAGTTTCACTACTTCATCAATTGATTTGCCATCCTTACCTAGTACCCGTTTCCTAACAACTTTGTTACTTACCCGATGGTCCCATGATATACGAGCAATGTTTCGAAGACACCTATGATCAAATACTAGTAACCTACGGATATCCTCTACTCTTACCGGCCATGTTTCACTGCCATAAAGTAGGACGGAACGAACTGCTGCGCAGTAAACACGTCCTTTGGTTGATAGACGGATATCTCGCCTACGCCATAAATGACGCAAGTTGGCAAAAGCTAGTCGAACCTTCTGTATCCGTGCTGAGATTTCGTCACACACCAGACCACAAGGGCTGATGAGACTTCCAAGATAAGTGAAGCGGTCGACACACTCAACCACTTCACTCCCTATCATTAGTTCGGGTGTCGATGTAACCCAATCCTGAAGCAACATTTTGCATTTCGAGGGAGAGAATCGCATCCTGAACATGCTTGCATTGTTGCTTAGAGTGGTCAGAAGACTCTGCATTTTGTCAGCGTCTTTGTCAAATAAAACTATGTCATCTGCATATTCTAAGTCAACAAGTGAACCTCCCGGTACAAGATCAACTCCTGTAAATTTAGATGAGGAGAGTGTTATCTCTAAAAGTACGTCTACCACAAAGTTGAGTGATGTTTGGTTTACGATTTTTCAGGCTTCCTTTAAATTCTTTTTTAAAATTTGGTCGCTGACGTACGCTGATATTATTCAGTGTTTGATTTATACATTTCATAGGTCAAACTTATTATGCTCGTGTTTCTCCCAAAGATCTAATGGTTTTTATCAATCTTGCCAATTTATATATCACTAAATCACCCCCGAGGCTTGAGGATGCTGCTACTCTTCTTCGTCGAGCCATTTCACTGCGATCTGATTTTGTGGACGCTTACCAGAACTATGGTAGTGTACTTATCAAGTTAGGAAGGTAAGTCCCCAATCTGAGCTCAAGAAAAGATGCTCATTTTCAAAACATTGTATTTGATTGGTGATGTATATCTCAAATGTATATAGGCAAACAATACTCCTCCCAATAAACTAAGGTCTTCTGTTTAGTTTTTTTAATTTATACGGTAACCTTTTTTGTCATCAGAAGGATTCGGAACCTAACCACTTTTGGCAGATTGCTCTTAACTAAGTGGATAATTGAAAAAGAATGGTTGATGTTAACTCTGATGTCCGTCTGAACTTGATTCTCAAAGATCAGACCATTGGTAGTATTATATAAACCTTTACCCTTACTCACTCTGGAGGGTGCTTATCAGCACAGTAAAGTTAATTGATAGAACATTAACCAAATCTATGAACAGGAGCAGTTGAATTGCTAGATATACAGCGAAACTAAAAGACGAATTATCAGAAGAGGTTTTGTGGAGATTTTAAAAATTTCACTGATTGAAATCATGAGTCAATTGAAACTAGACCACCATGGAAAACCTAGAAGCATTGAACGGCCGTTTCGACCTAGTATGGGACCCCTCAGCAGTGCGCATCCACGATCCCGCACTCCGCGAGATTCGAACCCAGGACCTATCAGTCTCGCGCCAGGTGCTTAACCGACTAGAATCTCGCGGGGTGCGGGATCGTGGATGTGCGCTGCGGAGGAGTCCCAAACTAGGACGAAACGGCCTTCCAGTGCTTCCAGGTTTTCCATGGTGGTCTAGCTTCAATTCACTCATTATTTCAATCAGTAAAAGACAAATTATCTAAACTGGCCATCTTTTTTTACATAATTCTGCTACATTCAAAAGTGTACAAGTCTGTTGAAGTTAGTTACGTAATATGCCCAGTTGTTTGCTATTTGTTCGTTAATTAATATCAATATTATCTCAGTTTCTCTTAGTCAATAGAATATAATGACTAAAATGTAACTTCTCTGGTAGTTTAGAATCTCAGCTTATTCATCTTCTGGTTTGTTAAATTCACCACAGTAATATTTTGTCTATTTCTTTTATTACTCAAAACTCTAGGTATAAAGAAGCTGAGGAAGCGTATAGAAATGCTTTATTGTACCAACCGAAAAGCCCAGATTTAAATTACAACGTAAGTATAATATATTGTTACTTCATCTCCGTGTATATACCATGCTTGGAATCTTGCATCATATTGCTTAATAAATTTATATCGCTTTTTGTCACCGTGCAGTTTCCGAAACATCTACTTACAATACGAACATTAATACCCGATTTATTAGGAAATCAAGAACTTTAAATCCAAGCGAAAGAAGTAAATCCAGTATAGTGTAAAAGTAAACTAACACCTAAATAGTAATTAAATTGACAAAACATTATTCCTTGTAGTACAATACTTATACCAGTTAATACTTGTGAGACCACTAAGATATTTACCAGAAACGTGTCAGAATCTATTCAGTTCAAAGAAAGTTTTATTTGGATGATAACAAAATAGTTCTCATTCATTAAAATTAAAGCCATTCCTATTTGAAAATGGTTTACAACACCAACACATTTGTGTTGACAATCTGTCCATTCTTGTTCTAAGATGCATACGAATATTATTTAGGGACGGTGTCGAAGGTTCATATTGTAAATGATCTAATGAGGTAAATGGTGTGGAAATATAACTTCCGAGGCTATCATACGAGGGATTATTATTTATATTATTGTATAATTAGTAGCCGCTTGGATTATCGTATTATTCATTGAAATCATGAACCAATCAGTGTATTCTTTATTTTTATATTCGCCTATCGACAAGTAGCTGTCATCCGTCTCATTATTTCAGATTTATCATTAATTGTTTTCACTGAAATCATGAACTGATCTAAGTTAGGCCACTAATGAGAACCTGGAAGCACTGGATGTCTTTTGACATTAGTACGAGATTCCTCATTACTAAAATTAATCATTTTCCCATTATTACGATTTGATGTCCATTAGGGTTAATTCATGTACATATTGTGATATTCAAATTGTGCTGCTATGTGGTCAGACATTTCAGTTATAATATTGTGAGTTTTTGGTCCTGGTTAAAACAAAGTACAATAGGGAATTAATCTGCTTTCTATCTTCGCCTACTGATTGGATACTGGGTTAAGTGCTCAAAGATAAATAATTGTCAAGGTCTTGGTTGTTGTTCGCTGTCATTTGATAAACAGGTAACTGGTCCTACTGGTAATATAGACGAACTAATCGATAACTGGAATAGATAGAATAAGACTACTGTAATGATTGCATGATCACGCGTCCCCCAATACAATCTAAATACCAATTTCCTCTTTTCGCCATTGAATCAATAAATGTGCTGGGCGATGTGAAACTTAATATAAGATGTTTGTAATAGCTTTTTACTGGTAAAGCACAAGAAACAAATTTGCACGTTTATTTTCTTTGGGAACAAAGTTAGTCTCAAGGTCCAGAGTTTTAGAACGTTATTAAGCAGATGTTTTTCATTTTTAAATATGATGTATTCATACTATTTCCTCATGGAAACAGTAACCAAACTGGTTGTTCGTATGCATTGTCGCTTTGACTAATTGATGGTTTTCACCGTGATGAATAATTGCTAAATTGGATCTCTTTACATTTCATTAACATTCTCTTTCAGTTGGGAGTTGTCCTCTTGGAGTCTCATAAGAAATCAGAGGGTTTGTCTTATCTAAACACTGCCTTAACTTACAATCCACAACATGAGGTATGTTTTATACTGAATATCAATAGTATTACTATTCATTCAAAAATATTATTCTTTCGGCTGAATTTTAGAAAATAACAAATTTCTTACTAAAATCATTTGAGCTCTCAAATATTCAAATTATTTATTCCTTAAATTAGACTTACTTCAGTGGGATAGCATTTGAATAAGAGTGACTTTTGACAAATACACTTCCAATGTTGATTGCCAAGGTTTGTGTTTTGTAGTTGTTAATCTCTAGAACTGGTTAGGTCAGTTACTATTGGCATACACATTAAATAGACCACCAGATATTGCTTGTATATGTATCACTATTATATTGTGGGGAGACTGGTAGTGAGATTCAGTAAGTGCATTTACTGATATTTGAAACTTATCTGTTGAGTTTCTCTGCATCAGTAAACTTAAGGGCCACCAATGAAACGCGAACTGAGCATCTATTCCGTTGTGATGAGAGAACAAAGCATTAACCAATAGACTGCAGAGCTGTCACTATTATTATTTTCAGTGTTATTTGTTCATTTATTGAACAGAACTGGCTAGCCTACTATCGATGTAAGGAGTTTGGGATCGGATACGAGTTTCAGCATATAACGAAATGCTTACAACAGATCTCACTGCTGACCAATACCAAATATGGCCATTTGTTAGTAGTGTACATTATCTCTGATAAACATACAATTTCCCCTGAGAAAAATACGAATGGTAATTTCCTTAAATGAGCAGTTCCAAATACAATGTTAACAACCTTTGATTTTAAAAGGCCACTGAAATCCATTATTATAGAAACCCTTAAAGATACTGCGTGTACTTCTTACTAATTCCCTACTAATAAAATTAGTCACAGGGTTGTCTTTTTCATTGGATATGCAATTTACAAAAATGGAAGTACCAGGTCCATAAATATCTCCACTTTTTGTCAATATTTTGTTTTAAACGCACAGATACATGCTAAAGCTCGGACGCGAAACTCTAAATCCACTAGGAAAAAAAAAGATCCGATAAGTTAATAGAACATAATCTATAGTGAATGTAAAGCCACGTGAACATGTAAATATTTCACTACAATAACTTTTTTTAGAGAAAAAATTAACAGTAATAACTATTAAAGTGAGTTCTCACTGACTATATCGATTTCTTTTATCATATTCAGCCTTCCCTGTTTGCTGTTGCATCAACTCTTGGTGAATCAGCTAATCCTGATGACCAGCTAAGAGCAATAAACATGCAAGTTAAACAAATTTTTGATAATTTGATTCTTTTACAGAAATCATTTTCCTCTTAAGAAATAAAAAAGAATCAGAATGTTAGGGATTTTTCATTGATGTTTGTTAGAACAAAGTGTTGATTTATCTTTAAACACATAGATGTCTGAATTTAATTAATTCAAATGCGAAAACCGATGGACACCCTGAAAGTCATACTGTTTTGGATTTGGTAGACCATGTACTAAAATTTGAGATGAGCAGCAGATTATCAAGTCCACTTACTGATCACTAAAGAGATTTTTCACTATCTTAACTCTCTATAAGTCTCTGTACTAATTATTTAATTTTAAATGAGCATCAAATCTATTGGCCTTATTGTCCAAAAACTCATCGAGTTTGTATTTACTGCTGTTTTTTATTGATAGCTATGAACATCTTCTCAAACAAAATTTTGAACCGATCAAAGTACATTTCGCCTTGGGTATGTTACAAACTGATAAAAAGAACTATATCAAAGCATCTAAACATTATCAGAATGTTATTATTGTAAGTGATTTATTTAAACAGGTATGATTATTACTTCAGAGCAATTTAAGAGACACAGAATTTTACTTTCTAAACGAGAAAATCTTATGCACTTACCGTATATCCCGATACTACAATATTAACCATCTTATTTAAATCATAAAACGATCAATGTTAGACCACCATCGAAAGCCTGGAAGCACTGGATAATGGCTTCGTCCTAGCACGGGACTCTTCAGCTCTGCGCTAACTACAACTCTGCACGTGGGAGTCGGACCCAGGACCTTCGGTCCTGCGCGCAAACACTTGACATATAAACCACTGGGCGGGAATCTAACGGTTTTAGTGACTAACTTCAATCAGTCCACAATATATTGCTCGACCATCTTTTATCGTCTACGGCGGGGAACTGCCTCACACCAGATACGACTGAACTACACTGGTCATGGCTTCTCACTAGAACTCCTGAAATTTCCCCAGTGAGCACGTTACTTGTCAGTAAAGCGTTGTGGAGATTGTTTAGTTTTAATCGAATCGTGGACCAATCAAGGTTAGACTACCACCTTAGCTCTTCATGTGCATCTACCGACCTCTTACTACATCATTCTTTATAGTTGAATTATTGTACTGTAGCCCGTTTTGGATTTTTTCATCATGTCATTAGTTTATAATGAACGTTCTGATCTTCAAAAGTAATACCAACGTTGCCCAATGATGCATGCAATGTAATTAGATTCTATATACGGATATATCATCTCTTATTAAGTTCAGTGTTTCCGTGTAGGGTTCAGGTATTCGCCTTTCTAAAGAAGACTTTTTGTCCCAAATGTACTTTGATTAACCCTATTTCTTTGTTACTATTCTAGTTTCGAGCATTGTGTCATATATGCTGTTAACATAACATGAATTATATCGTCGAAAACCAAGATAGTTATAATTTTGCTAGCGACTCGTACTCATTTTCGTACAAAGAATTCGTGTAACCTTTATTTGAAATTAGACACTTCAGCAGGTCTTAAGATTATAAGAGACTACATATGACTAGATGCAGATACCACTTTACGGATTATGTACAAAAACATACAAAACTGAACTGGTGCTGGTTGACCTATGCTGATGATAATGTCAGTAGCATTTGCAAAGAAGTAATTATTGTTTGAGTTGTTCCAAAAGCACTTAACTCGTCTATTTTATTGTAGTGAACGAAGGCTTGATGGGGAAAACCAATTTACTTTTTTTATGCCAAATCACATAGTGGCATTGTAAAATTCGTATTAAATACATCGTTTGTATATCTTCCCTCAGTTATCATTTACATACTTCATCATCCTTGCGATCGTGTTGTTCTCATTCTTATTTCTGTCCGTTTCCTTTCCTCTTCTTATTTCACTCTTTCTGGTAAGCATTCTAGTTCGTGCTACATACTACCTATATTTGTCCGCATTATGTCTACTCGTTTTTTCAATCATTAATCTACTGATTTGTAATCATAATGATTATAACATTTTGTCCGTTTTAGATTACATACGTGTTTCTCATCCGGATATGTTTTTACCTGATATTTTTTATTTTGTCGTTTTTAAGCTGGATTCTGATCATAAAGGTTCATTATTTAACCTAGCTCTACTTTATCGGAATCATCTTGGAAAACCAGATGACGCAAGGAATCTCGCACTTCATCTTATCAAGGTAAATTTAGATTTATATTTATTAGTTTTATGCACCGAAAACCATTCAGTCAATGTGAATTATTGGAGTGATTGAATAAATATTTTAGTCCTAACTAGTTTAATTTTAATTAATTTTTTTTATTCTGCTTGTTAAATGGCTGAAAAAATTGTTTAGTGCTTCGTACTACAGCTGAAAGTTAAGTGCTTAAACCACATCAACAGAATTAAACGAAAGATGAAAACTGATAAACCTCTTTTGTCATTGTTCATTTTGGTTATCTGTGTGATCATATCTAAAGAGCAATGATTGATGTACTTTGTGACAAAAATTTGTTATTTCTCTCATATGTGTGACTTTCTTTTACAGGTTCATCCTTCACATATAAAGTCTTATTTACTTCTCGGAGATATAGAATTAACTGAAAAAGCGAACATAAAATTAGCAAAGCAAGTAAGCCTTTAACTGTAAATCTATGAATTTGTTAATGCTACTTCATCTTGAACATATGTCAACATATACTTACCTTTTCCCTACTTAGTATTTTGAAGAAGCGCTAAAATTGGACCCAAAGAACATTCAGGCAAAACATAACCTTTGTGTTGCTTTGGCAGATGAAGATGATCTAGAAAAATCGGAATCATGCCTTTTAGAGGCTATAGCCATGGAACCAAAACCTCAAAACTATTTACTACAACATCTAGAAATTATACGTGGACGTCTGCATTCTCGTGGAAAACATGCATATACCAAGTTAAACAATGATAAGTAATCGAACTATCGAAATCATACATAATTCGAATGTTTAAAAACTGTATCCATTATTTCTGTGCTTAGAAAACTGTCTTTTATACAGGAATATCGACAAAGGGACACTATTTATACGTCGACTATAATTTCATTAGCACCCACAAATACTTTTCTTCGGATCAGGTTGATGGGCACATATTGAAAAGTGCGATGATCAAGTTAGGTGGGGGACTAAGCACACAAGGGTTTAAAATTTGATCGCTTTGTCTATTTGACCAACCGAAGCGCACTTATCCAAACGTTCAGTGTATAGTTTACTTTCAACAAATACTGTAAATTCTCGAATTTAGTAACAATTTTCTTCCCTATTACTCCAGTCATGTCCCATATATCTACTTTGAACAACAAAGCTGAAAATCTAGTTGGCCTGCTTAATAATTCGCATAGGGTTCTGCGACAGTGAGGCTTGGACGAATTGTGTTTTTTCACTTATTATTAGGTATCATTCCTATATGGTATTCGCGACCCACTTATTGACCCATATATGTCAGCGAACTAACAGTATGGGCCTTCTTGAAGTTCACGTTTATGGGTATGAACCAAAATATTTATAAAGTGATAGGTTTTAATTAGTTATATTAATGAACCTTAGAATCATTTTGCGAAGCCAACTTAGTTGAATTATGTAAAATGGGCATCTGAATATCATAGATACTCGCATTCCCGTGAGCATCCTACTTTACGATAATCCCACGATTTCACTAATTATGACTTTTATAGTTGATATCTCGTTCGACCTACATTTAAACATGTACAACTGACTGACCATTTTCGGAACAACAGCTCTATTCACCCGCATGACGAGGTGATCAATATGCAGTCTCTGTACGCTATGGATTGAGATTGATAAACTTCAAACATCAAAATATGCTATACTCTATAATACATGTTTTGACCCAAAAATATACATGCTATCTAACAATCTTTTTATGAATTGGTCATTGGAAATGGTTTAATTGTGCAGTCCTCCATGCCATCAATCTGTTCGAGGTAATTTTAAGGGCATGAACACTAAACTGGATGATTCGTACATTAAAAATGAGTTAACCTCCCTATTGTATATGCAACAACTAATGCACACGAATACAGCCACTATAGCGGTGGTTTCAGCAGAATTACGCGGCAGTGTTTACAAACGAAAAGCGAAATTCAGAAGTATAAGGTAGACAGCACCAACGAAATCACACTTGATGGGGAAGTTGTGAAATAGGTGCAAGTCTTCATGTATCTGGGTAGCATCATTAGTAATCAAGGAGGATCTGATCCAGATGTGAAGTAACAAGCTAAAGAGTAGAAGGCCTGAGTCGATAAGTAATCAGAACAGAGAACTTGTGAATTCTTTCGCGCCTTCAATCTGTCCGAGGTAATTTTATGAGCACGAACACGGAACAAGATAATTGGGAGTCCCAGAAGTGTTGATTCATGTAAGGATATTGGAAAATGACATAGTTTCGCAAAATGGTTTTTGCTTCAGAAGTCGGAGACTCGTGATTCAATAGAATTTTGCGTGCAAAAAAATAATTCGTGAAAATACTTTTTCAGGCTTTTGTCTGGAACTATGACAACGAGTTCATCTAAATATATAGGTATTATTGATGTGTGCTGTATATCGTCACTAAAGGTAACACAGAAAACAATAATATATTTACATCGAAAAACGTTCATATGTTACAATCACATTCTATCAACAAAACTGTGCAATAGGGAACTTGTTTATAGCAACATTCGACGAATCGGTATTTCTCTCCTGTAAGTGTGAAAAAATAAAGTAGATCTTATTTTGTCACTTACCAGTCGGACAGTAATTCAATGCATACTGACATGCGCTGTTTTATTTCTTTCGATAATTCTTCTAAATTTGTAACACAAGGAAGTAAATGTTTTAGCTCTTTAGCCTTAAACGTCACGTCGTAGTCTGAAAAAAAAAGTTGTAAATTTTTGTTCAAATGATTGATTTAAAAAAATAGGTCAGTTATTGATAATTTCGACTGAATATTACTCAGTGTCAATAAACACTGGGATACTTTATTACTTCATATTGACCAAAACTACTGGAACAAAAGTGTGAAGTAAGCACGGTTATTTGCAATTGATAAAGATTTAAAATCTCAGTAAGAATTGTGACACCCATGAAGCATTGCGACTTTTTGAAATTTTGTAAAAATAATCCTGGAATGAAAATTACTATATTTACATATAGAAAAATTCATCCTACCAAATTATAATGATAATTGTTGCATTACAAAGAGACAGACATCTTACTTTGCAGTTTTTCACTAATGAGAATTTCTTTGTTTAAATTCATCAAAAGATAGTGTAACAATTTTAAACTATTCTCAGCTAGCCAGCTTTCTTTGATTTGTGTTAGAATACATTTCAGCAGGACATCTGGAATCTGTAATACAAACGTAAAATCTGAAAATATTCATCTTCAGAATGCATTTGTTATTTATATTAGTCTACTTGTGTCATTTAAAAAGCCTGAAAAAGTATTTTCACGAATTATTTTTTTGCACGCAAAATTCTATTGAATCACGAGTCTCCGACTTCTGAAGCAAAAACCATTTTGCGAAACTATGTCATTTTCCAATATCCTTACATGAATCAACACTTCTGGGACTCCCAATTATCTTGTTCCGTGTTCGTGCTCATAAAATTACCTCGGACAGATTGAAGGCGCGAAAGAATTCACAAGTTCTCTGTTCTGATTACTTATCGACTCAGGCCTTCTACTCTTTAGCTTGTTACTTCACATCTGGATCAGATCCTCCTTGATTACTAATGATGCTACCCAGATACATGAAGACTTGCACCTATTTCACAACTTCTCCATCAAGTGTGATTTCGTTGGTGCTGTCTACCTTATACTTCTGAATTTCGCTTTTCGTTTGTAAACACTGCCGCGTAATTCTGCTGAAACCACCGCTATAGTGGCTGTATTCGTGTGCATTAGTTGTTGCATATACAATAGGGAGGTTAACTCATTTTTAATGTACGAATTATCTAGCTGTGTCCATTATACTCCATCTAGTCAACAAACAGAAGTGAAAACTCGTCAATATGCACCCGTCAAAAATTAGGCTTTATTTGGAATGTATCTGCATTGCAGTCTATCTTAATAATTCTGTATGTCGGTAACGATCTTCTCAGGTATTCCATAGTGTCGTAGATAGTCCCACAAGTTTTTCCTATGCAGGATTGTCGAATGCTGTTTCATAATTACGGAAACTCATGTATAAGTGATGAGTTACATCCAATTGTTTGTTCAACAAGGATTGTCAGGCTCCGGATTTGGCTTAGGAACTCGAGAATATTACCTGGTACTGGCATCAGCGTAATCTCTATGCAGGTCCCACATGCACTAATATCATTTTTTCCGTATATTGGTGAGAAACAGAACATATTGCTTCTGGATCTGACTTTAGTGCTGTCGAAGTTATTACTTCCTTAATCTCTTCTGAGTTGCTTGCAATAATGGTCTCTTCTTACAGCAGATTTGGTACGTTATTGCTCTTAACCCGTTAGTATGTCGAAGGAAAACTGTATTAAACCATTGTATTCACGCTTGCCGAATCGTTCAATACTTTAGTTTTAGCTTGGTCTTCACCAGGTAGCGATCTAAAGCTATATCACTTCTTCCATTTGATCTAACGCCTTCAATGGACCTGAATTTTTTATTGATCTAAACGTAGTCGATGTGGCTCTCCGTAGCGTGGTTCGGTGGAACCCGTGTAACTTTATTACTGCACATATGGGAGAAAATGCTGCCACTCATAACCATGTTTTTGGAAACACAGCTTACTAGTCTCGCATTATGTTTATTCATTTATCTGAGTCGTTATCTGCGTCCGTACTTGATTTTTAGCTCCCTTTGTCATGGTCGTTAGATGTTTCCGTGGGCATTTCTCTGGGTTGGCATCTAACATATTTACTGTTATCATATGAGGGTGGGTAGCACTGGATGACATTATTTTAAATTCTTTTCTTTAAGAGATGCTTTGATGGTTCTGGACTTATGGGTTTTGCGTTCTATGAGTGTTTGCGTGCTTCTTCGGAGAGCGTCATTGTGTCCAGCGGGTTCTACTTATTTCAAGCACGGCTAGGTTGTATCTTCTGACTTTGAATGACCATCCTGGCTTTCGCCATGAAAAGCCAACTCTGCCATCTGAAGACCGTTAGACTACTAGGAAAGACCTTAATTTATTTAACTTACTTTTTTGGTTGACGTTTTTCCAGTGCGGTTCTATTTTACGGAGTGGGTGGGCTAAGCTTTCCTTGGTGTTGAGATCGGGAGTAGCTGCAAGCGGAGTTTCGTCGCGATCACCAATACATAAACATCTTGGTAGGCAACATTTTTATCCAAGTGTCTAAAATCCGATGATTTATAATATAGCGTGGATCGTATCTTGACTGTTAAAGCTTTTAAAACTTCAGTACAGGTGCATGTTTTTGTTGGAATGGTTCCTCTTAGATAATGGTTTGATTTTTAAGTATGCGCTTAACATATGGTCCAGAAAACATTTAAAGCTTCTTAATGAAATCATCCAGCTCAAAGAAAACATTAAATCTCAAAAGCATTGTTGGTTAAATATACGTAGAGACGTGGATAGACAAAAAGTAATTTGTGGAACTCGGGAAAGCAATATGCTAAAAGACTTACAAATTATAGTTTGTAGAAATATGATATTTCTAGTAGTAGTTGTAATCAAGAATTACTTCATCTTACCTTAAGATTAGGATCAAGAGAATATAAATTACAGCAATTTATGTATAGACTGTCAGCATGTAGAGTGTCGACGTAAGTATTACCACTGCAGGAAAAAAGGTAAAACGGAAGATAAATTCTGTAAAAAATTAATAGGCATTGGTGATAGTGGGGCTAATCCTACAGTAATATGTAGTAGCCATGTGGCAGTGCAAGTTTGGGAATGCTACCGACTTGTCTCTTAGTCAAGAGAATTGTAGTACCTACATGGTCAACACAAGCATATCTACAACTGGCTGATATCCGAAAAGCGAGATTCATTTCAATGTCAATGATCTTTTGGCATTACTGGATCCCAATAAAGCATGCTATACATAAATACAATCTTCGATTACTCAGGCATATGTTATTTTACTGAGCGGAAATAACTTTACTTACTATCTGTTTCTTTAAAATTTCGTATCAATGTGTTCGTTCACAATCCACCTAAGTATACACTGATGACTTTATAATTACATAATGACATTTAAATTAACATTCAGTAATTGGAAGAGAGAGGATTATTAATATTCAAAGTAATCAGGAAGTTGCTATGTTGCGTAATTTAAGAAACAAAGAAGGAATAGAATTTTACCGGATGGTCAATAGGATAGTAGTTACGTAAGAATCAAGAGATGAATGTTGAGAAGTTATAAGGCTCAAAAGCGATAGAAACAAAATTACAAAAATTTTAAAATAAATAAAAAACTATTTTTCATACTTCTTCAATTTTTATTTTTATCCTATTGACCATCCGGTAAAATTCTATTCCTTCTTTGTTTCTTATATTACGCAACATAGCAACTTCCTGATTACTTTGATGACTTTATGATTATAATCATACAGTATTATTCCATAACGGTCATCTAATTATGACTAGGTAATTCAAATATTCGTTAGAAAACTAGTAATTTAGTCCACATTTCAACCATGCCACACTTTAGAATGCAAGCTAGCAACCCCTTGCTAATGAAAAACACAAAAGGCTCAAACAGGTTGTTGAAAACTGAGTTAGCCACTTCACTTGGTATTGTTTTGCCACTGCAAGGTCTATTTTAATTTAATCCTATGTAAATACAATAAATGATAATACATGTAACTGAAGTTCAAGAAAACGATAGCTTGGTTTTATTTACTTTTATGTTTGGCTGTTAGTACTAAGTTTATAAAAGCTATCCTGAAATAACAGCGATAATTAAACAAATGGCGACAAGAAACAGCCAGTACAACAATAAAATTGCTTTACTTATACATCTAGTTACTCTTGTCGACTGTGAATTTTTAACGTCATGACGTGGTAAGTAAATTTGCATTAAGCCTTCAAACTTGTATAAATCTTCGAATCCATAGCTGATTATCAAATTTAAAAGTTGTACACCGTTTTACTCGTCTCATTCTTGTTAGCGTTCTGCATCAAGTTTTTCACAAACAACTTTGAATATATATCAATTCAAGTTGCCGGACCATATCGACTGTGTGGCTGATAGCGACATGATGTATTTGCGTTCAAAATTAGGTCGAATTAACAGGCCACCCGTTAAACGATTCTCTTCTTTATGCTTAAAGACGTTGTTTGCTAAGAATAGACGGTTGTTCGAGCCTAGTCACAGCATTGCGTTGTTTAGGGAAAAACCTTACTGTCATCACGCTTATGTATATTCCTTAGCACTACCTCAGCCCTTGAACATAAAGTCGCTGTTTTTAATCGACCTGGCTAATTATTTGGGCTAACTCATTCATCAGGTGCTTGGATATGAGCCACATTCTATGCATGAAGGCTAACAATCTTACCCGGATGCCCATATCAAAGTATGTAGAGCGAAGTTCAAATCACAGAAATCGTAATTAAGAGCCGAACATCTTAACCATCAAGCCACTGCTCCACAATCTGTTTGGCATGGTAGGATCTACAATAAAAAACGTCCCAGCTAATATAATTTAGTTAGACCATCAAGATATGCAACACGAACACGATGTCAAGGTACCTATGGAAACAACTAGTATAAACTCAAGCATTAAGTTTCATGCCTTTTAACTGGGTAACAGAGACAATGTACTCATCATTATGAAATCCGCTAAAGTGCTGTTTATCAGTCTGATTAAGTTGCTGTTTCTTTGCATACGTACAAGTTTAGAAACCTGTTGTTTGAATATCTTGACTTATTATGGCTACTTTAAATTATCGTGATATGTGCTCACGCATCATCGACTTGTATTAAATAGCTGTATTATAGATACACTACTCAAGAAAGAAATTATAAATACATTTTGAAGTATCTAATCCGATAATTATTCACATTGAAAGGGAAAATAACACGATGTTTGCGGTAAGTATGTAGATATCAGCATCAAGAATCTGTGGATAGATTATCCCTACAAAGATTTACCTGGTAAATGTTCTTCTGTCGAATGAAATATCTTGAATCCTTTCATTAAAATCCTGCAGTAGATTGTTGCTTGTTAGTTCATGCGCCACTTTATGTGTATCAATTATCTGACCCGATAGTTGTTGCTTAATTTGTTTCGTCTAATTTAAAGGGATTTTATGAGTGTTAAGAATATGACCGAATGAAAAAAAATTATTTAGACAGAAACATCGTTTAAGTAGAAGTGAACAATAACATGGTACCTGACCGCGTGAAGGAACTCCGAATTTAAGCACAGATTCTTGTACTCAGTTTACAGTCACAGACTTTGCATCCTAGTTGCGTGAATTATCACTTGGCTACACTATACATCAATTCAAGCGATAGATCATTCATAAACCCATTATATTTTTTACGAGAGCGGCAATTGGAATAGTCAATCGTCAAAAACAATAATCATATTAAGTGAGTAGATAATCACAGTTAAAGCTTTTCAAAATACTTTTGGAACTTAAGCATCACTGACATTTTGTCTGCCGAATTCCTCCGTATAGTGTTTCGCTTTCGATCTAGTCTTAAGGTCATTACAGATATATTCCCATTTCACAACTTTACCTGGGTCAATCGACTTTTACCGCTTCAAAAAATCTGAGAAATATTTGTTGTTTTGAACAAGGCTGGGCCAAGGTAGGTTATCATTAAGTTATCAAAGCTGGATATATATCATCATATAGTCAGATGACTTATTTTCGCATCACACCAACTATGTGGATTTTTGTGAGTTCGAAGGTGTATTGCTTTGTAGACACATATATTTAAGGTATATATGTATCATGAAAGTGACGCCTTCCTTGAGGTGTTACGATTTCCTGATAATTATTGAGCTTAATAGTGAGAATTTCTACAGGATTAATAGGTTTGATAAGAAACAAATCAAACTTTTACCATATATCATCAAGCAGGTGTTTATAATAATAATAATAATAATAATATTTCAGTACGTAAACGAATAAATGAGCATTTTGTCAATTGGAGTTAAGATAAAATTCACCTACCTCACGACATAATAAAGGGAGGTTATCTAACAGCTTTTCATTTTCTTCATGCAAACGGCGAATCGTTTCCCGTTTCTTTCTCTTTAAATATTACAAGATAAGAGAAAGACTACAGCAATTTCACTCATTACGTTTTATTTTAGAGTTCGTTTTTAAGATTTTTACCCATATTAAATATTATAAACCAAATAAATATGTGATCAAATTGGACAGAAGTGAAAAGAGTATTGTTACTAATCTCGATCTGACGGTGTTAGGAGCTACCAGGCTAAATGATACGTCTCTATGAGTAAAATTGGTGCTAGCTAGGACTAAACGGTTATCTGAAAACGTTTGCAACAGGCTGATGATTTGTTTGCTTGAGTAGGACGCCAAAAGTCCCAATAAGTGTCTAAAGTTTGGCCAATTATGTTTACTTGAGAGCTCAAGTCATTTTCGAAAATAATGAAATCCATCTGGTTGGTTAACAAGTTAGAGTTGAGTATGTGTTACATCCACGAAACAGTTCAAATTCGATTAAATATTGCTTAATGTATAGAGCAAGGAGGAAATCGAAATCAAGGATTAAATGAGTCGTTTAAATTATGTTGTGTAAAATGGTCATATCATTGCTGTTACTGCTACTCATAACTGATGAATATAAACTTCATTGTGTTGAGATTACTGAGTTTTGTCAGTTCATCTGAAATTAGAACGTGGATTTGAGTTCATATGCTTACTGGATAACACGTTCCTAAACCTTGTGTAAAAAATGTGACAAACATCTCCATTTCGTTTTAATAAATTCATTTGTAAAAGGTCCCATGTTTCACATTTATAGTAGATAACAACTCTAATGTTTTATTATTATTACACCATTGCTACAACTGATGGCAATGCATCGCAAATAGCACATGAGCATCGCGAGAACTAACTTCTGCATAATTATTAAAATTAACACATTTTTTATGTTATTACAATTAATTAATTTGTCAATATGCCTAATCTATGAAGTCAGGTCTTATGTTGATGAAGAGTAGTAGCCCGTTCAGTTGACTTAACTTTCTTACTCGAACCTACATGCCTAACCTCAAAATAACTCAATCCGTCGTCCTATCTAACGCGAGCAATGCCTTAACAATAACTATGATCATTTACTTACGACCACACTTCTACTTTTAAAGATAATCTTTTACAATCGAGGAGCGATACAGAGCAAACTTCTGAGTAGTGCATTTGTCTTCGAAAATAATCTTCAGATTTCTAGAGTCCAGATATCCTTTTTTTAGGTGTACATGTGCATAAGGGGATAAACTGACAGGAAACAACGATGGTGAGCAAAATGAAAAGACAGACAAGCGACTTGGCAGAATAGGAAGAAATTTTATATGTCCTGATAATGGATAATTAGCGCCCCAATACACTTTAATAACTGAAGGCATAGAATGTCTCGCATTTACTCCAGAAAATTGATAGCTACCTATTAGTGATAAGGATTTCTTAATGTAAGCGGTATGTCTTTTTTATTAAACGTAAGGATGTAGGTAATATCGGTTTAGGTTAAGGTAACACGTGTGATGACCGTACTGAAATTTAGATTGGTTAAAAAATACGAACACTAAGACAGTTTTTATTATTTGACCTATGACCAACTGGTTATTATTAGCTACCCAAACAACTTGTGTCTGGCATCGGTAGCTTGCACCCTAATATCTGTTCTGCATACTCTCTTAATGTTATCCAGTCGATAGTAGAAGACACTTCTGAACATTTGAATCGGAATCTACCACGTGAGTGAAAATAAAGAATAGTTCACCTCTCCATTTCTTTGTAAGTTTAACCAAATATATTTTAACACCAGACAAAGTTTTAGTAGTTCACAGCCCTATTGCGATTCTTAAGAAAATTTATTTAATTTAATGAAAGTCGATTTACTCTGAAAAGTACAAAAACTAGCAGTTGGTTGTAAATATGTCCAAACTCTACTCACCAAAAGACTTTCAATATTCACTATTTCTGTGCCTAGTGATTCATATTCAAAAAGGTTTGTTTTGTTACATTCTACGTCCAACTTTAACTTCCCGATACGGTGCTTCATGTAGTGGACCTTTGTCTGTAGCGTTAATTGAAGTTCAGCATTTAAAAAATCTCTTGACACATTACATTTTTGTAGTTGAATGCGCTGGTAAGATAAAAGATAAAAACGGACAGTTAAAACTGTGATGACACCGGTTATAAGATTTGATTCTCTACTTATTACAATGATAACAAGAGCATTCTTTATATTGTAATTTAATGCCAGAAAGATAATTTGCTTGTTTTATCATAAGCACGACAGGATATAACCCACCTTTATCTAGCGATCAAATAAGCAACTAAACAGCTCACGATCTACTAACTAAAGCAAGAAAACATGAGCAGCTTTGTCACCATTTCTTAGTCTTTAACCTTAGAAACAAGTGACGTGACTCGATCCACTTAATATAATATGGCAGAACACATGTATTCAAACATTTACTACCAATACCTTGAGTTAACATCTTTTAAATCAATAGTTATATATACGTTTGTGTAAATTGACGAAAATATGATGAATAGACGCCAACTTACAATATTCAGAGATCCTACATTCATGTTGTTTCAAATCGTGCTTTGGACAATACATCACGAAGCATGTTTAATGGTAAATGGACTTTTTGGTTGTCAGTAAAATTTCACACTGAATCTTCAGAGTAATCAGAAAATATGTACTGACCGGAAGTTTGTACAACAACAAAGTAACTACCAGAATAATGTGCTCAACGACAAATTTGGAAAATGGGAAAAACGATTAGAATCAAAAAAGTTCGTAAGAGCTAAAGGTAATCACTTGCTTTTAAGTTTTGAAGCTCAGAAGAAAGATCAAACAGATGTTTTCTTTTCCTGCTGATTTCAAGAAAACTTCTTATATGAGACAGTTGCTTATCCTCCAGGAATTTATAATAAAAATTGAACTTACAAGTGGAACAGTAGTGCTAGTCCTATAATATAAAAACCCCATTGTATTCAAGATCTTACCTCTTGTAACACACCGATTCACGTTTTGTGGATTCAAGCTGTTCAAGACTACGGATGACAGTTAACTCTAGCCATTTTGCTAGGTCACTGCTTTTTTGTGAGACATACAATTCACCAGCACTTTGAACTGAATCAACAGTGAACTTCTGATCACATATAACTGTCAGTACATAGTAAAAATAAAAACATACTTGGTTTAATAATTCCGTGACCGATACATTTTGAGCACTTTCCAAATCACTTGAGTGGAAAAGTAATTACGATTAGAAAACGATTTACTTATTTTTGAACAGAAAACATAGCAACTTTTCAAGCAAACGTGAATTAGATTGTAGTTTCGACAAATGATTACCAATTGTTGTAACGATAGTCCCCATTAAAGTTGATTGCATAAGCAAACGACTCATACTATCCTCCATTGTGCTAAAAATAGAGTGAGGTCATACTAGCACGTCGGGACAGTAGGTAAAAGTGAACATACAATACAGGCACGGGGAAAAGGCAAGGTATGAACGGTAGGCTCCTTCGAATCTGTCCGCCGTTTTGTTTCAACGACCTTGAACGGCCTGATTAGAGGCAGTCATTCCGTATTTCAATTGCCGTGGGTTTGTTGGTTGAATGAGTATAAGGTTTTTCATATTTAAGTCATCCTTACCTGCGTTGAAAAGCACAAAATAACTGTCAAAGGCAATAATTTAGCTTGCTCTGTCTTGTAGTGTACAAGTTGTCTCTGTTGTTGCTTCATAACTTGATCTGTGATCGAAACTGCTGTAGTAAACCTCAACCAAATATCAAGTCACCGGTAACTCTTGAATATTTATAGTACTTCCTTCAGTTACTCTTGTTTCAAGGAGTAATTTTTTATAATTAATGATTGATGTTTGTAGTGCTTCATTGTCAAGTGACATTTCAGTCGACTTAAATGGTTCAAATGGTTCAAATGGTTGTGGACGGAATAGAAGAAGCTTTCGCTTAACAGGCTTCCGTGTCTGGTAGCAGGGGATCATCAAATCCTCCAGGCAGGAACCTAGGTATGTTAACAATAGAAGAGGAAAAATGAATTGGCAAATCATCGTATGATGCTGTCCTTGGTCCTTAGAAATAGGTCAAGTTGCCTCTTAAAGGACTCCTGAAAAGTCGCTTGGACTAGCTCGCCCGGCAGCGAATTCCAGCATTTGACAACTCTTGAGGAATAGAAGTTATGTCTTCATTCCGTATTGCTATGTTGTGTTTCCAGTTTCTGGGTGTTACCCCTTAGGTTATTGTTCGAACTAAGCTTAAGCAGGTGTTTAAGAGGATGTCCAGAAGTGTTAAGAATACTATAAGCCATTAATAAATCACCTCTAAGACGCCTATACTCTAATGGGTAAAGGTCTAGTGAATGGAGGCGTTCTTCGTAAGGTTTAGATTTGAGTCCTCGAACTAATTTCGTGGCTCGCCGTTGGATACACTCCAAAGTGACCTTGTCCTTTTGGAGTGAGGGGGGAGTACTATGTTTCCGTACTCTAAATGGGGACGGATGAAACTATTGAAGATTGTATGGAAAGTTCTTCCGTCAAACTGTCCAAAAATGCGCTTCAACGTTACCAGTGCAAGGTTTGCTCGGAAGGCATTTTTGTCACTGTTAGCGTAAGACTTCAAATCATGGGGCACCAGGACTCCTAAATCTTTTTCGACTTGGTATACTACTAGAGAGGAGTTTCCTAAGTTGTAACTGTAGTTTGCGACATGTCGCAGATGGACTACTTTACACTTTGAAGTGTTAAAGGTAAGTCCGTTATCGTCTGCCCAACTGTGAAGTCGCGTCAGATCCTCCTGAAGTGCCTGTGTATCGTCTTGGTTGCGTATCTCTCTCCAAAGTTTCACGTCGTCGGCAAAAAGTAATAAGTCTGACGTTGCCTGTTGAGGAAGATCATTTATGTAAATCAAGAAGAGAAGAGGCCCTAGTACTGAGCCCTGGTGAACCCCACTAGGACATTCCATAGCCTGAGATAAAGTGAAATTAACCCTAAGCTTAAAGTGTCGATTTTTTAGGTATGAAGTAAGCCAATCGATTAGAGGTGGTTTGATACCTAGTCGTTTGAGCTTATTGATAAGACACAAGTTGTTAACCTTATCAAAAGCTTTTGAGAAATCAATTTAAATGATATCAACCTTTCCCTTGCGATCGAGGATGCATGTACATCTGTCCACCGCAGTCAGCAGGTTGGTTATACAAGAGTAACCCTTCCTGAAACCATGCTGTTGGGGTGAGAATAAATTTAAGGACAATAGGTAGTCGTTTAAACCGTCGCATATCAGGGACTCCATGAGTTTTGAAAGTAATGACAGAAGAGCCACCGGCCGATAACTTGAAGGTTCATTGCGTCGACCTCCTTTGAAAATTGGTGTGATGTGAGCCAACTTCCAATTTTCCGGTGATTTGTCTCGGCTTATTAACTGTGAAAGCATCACGCTAAGCGGCATTGCCAGGATTGAGGCTGCCTCCCTCAGTATGGCAGGATGAACCATATCCGGGCCAGCAGAAGTATCTAGTCTTAAGTGCTGCAATTTCCGGAATACCAATTCAGCGCTTAGGTCCACTTCAGAAAGTCCTGTGGAATTGCAGATGAAACTGTCGTCAGTAAAGTTGATGTCTGCCGGTTGAAATGTTTGAGAGTAATGTGCCGCCAGAAGGTCAGCGGCGTTGCCATCGTTGTTGGTCGGGCCGTTAAGACCTACCAGTTGAGAAATTCTTGTTTTGGCTTGACGAAGAGAGGCTGCATAACGGAATAGGCTTCTAGGATTGGAGGCAAATTTGTCCATAAACTTTGTCTGGTACTGAAGCCTGTCTTCTCTTATAGCCTTTGTGCATATGTTCCTTATATGTTTATATTGCCCATACGCTCCGTCGTTATCAGTTCGTTTGTACTCCGCCCAACAGTGCCTTTGGCGGCTTAGCAGGCGAAGGGTACGGTTCTTGATTACTGTAGGTGGCTTGCAGCTTTTGTAACCGTTTGAGGAACTGAATGGTCTGTAGCACATAAGAGCGTGTGCAGTAAGAAGTCTCAATGACCATCCACATCGAGTTGAGGGTGAACATCCCAAACCACCTGTTTTAGATAGTCATGTAGAGCTGGCACATTCAGCCGTTTAAAATTCCAACGCAAATTATTGTTGGGATACCTTAGCTTAGTTTTGATGACAAAACTGAAGGCTATGACGGCATGATCGCTCTTTCCCAGAGGAGCCAGGATTGAGAGGTTGTCAACTAGGAATTCTTCGTTTGTGAATACACAGTCTAAGCGCGATGGTGTCTGACTGTTTCTCCAACGAGTCGCCGACCTCACATTTTCATATAAGCCCAAGTCATCGATGAGGTTGAAGAACCGAGCTTCAATTGAGTTGTCGCCTCCATTGTACGTATGTTCCGCGAAGTTGACTCTAGGGAGGTTAAAGTCCCCTTGAATCAGGATGTGTGTGAAACCGAGACGGGTAGAGCGGGATAGTCCTTCCAGCATACGACTATCGTACTCGATGTCGGCAATTGGCTTCCTGTAAATGGCTTCGACTAGACGCCTGGAAGTACTAGACAATCTTACAGAGCACCATATGGATTCCTCAAGATTGTTAAACTCGAGGTTGTGAACTTGGTGCACCTCCAAGCAAGAGCTTATGTATATGGCTACTCCGCTCTCAATTCCTGTTTTTCTGTGGTTTCGGAACAAAGTCATCCCAGGTAATGCCAACTCTTGGTCCGAGAACTGAGAAGACATCCAGGTTTCAGATATTCCTATCAGATGGGCCTTATTAGCGTTGCTACGTTCACGTAATTCATCCAGTTTGTTTGGTAGACTCGCGGCGCTCATATATAAGCAGTTTATGCTTTCAATTTGGAACGCGTGAGCTTCGTCCTGTTTTTCTGTATGAGCCTTATGTGAATGGACAGGTAGCCCACCTATACGAGGTTCGCCGAGGTGGTAGGCCCTGTCCTTTACACTTTTTTTATCGTCTAGACAGTCCACAAGTGGAATGGTCTGTTCCAACTTGCCTTTGTGTTCGGTCCTAGCTTCGTATGGCCTATTCGGGTGCATGTGGATTCCAGGTGGCAGTCGACGTCTGTTGGCACGAAATGCTTCCAGAGTTGCAGCCACCATATGGGAAGATGTGACGGTTATCTTTATTAGACGGGGTCTAGAATCACCATCCTTCTTGGCTAGTCTCGTCACATGCTGAGTCAGTATGTTTTTGAGCCTCAAGGACTGTCTGATGAATTTTCATTTCCTGATGTCAGTCTTTGATTGAGTAGGGTCAGTATATTCCGGCATACCTTGCACAATTGTTTCTTCCGCGGAAAAACTTCTCACGAGATTCTTTAGGAGTGTTCCGTATGATATTGCGCTCAGAGTACGGTATGTCGGGCAATATTCTTACGTTACCATCGGATTTAAGCAAGTGACCTGCTAGCAAGACGTCCTCTACGTCGGTAGCATTCTTAAGTGTTACTCGGAGAATCCTCGGGTGATTTAGATGCCTAGATTCTTTTCCTCGAGTGAGCCGGGTGACCGTCAAAGGCTATATTCTAGGAAGTTTGAGCTTCTTGTTCAATACACCCCAGAGCATCCTGTCATTTTTGTCCTGCAGACTGAGAGGAAGGTCAGGATTGTCGACGAGGTTCATGATAATGAGAGAATCGTCACGAACTGTTGTTAATTTACCAGGTTTCACGATGGGTTCAGGTTTAATAACTTGTTGTTTGGAGGTCAGTGCGCGTTTTTGAGTCTTGGGCTCTTTATTGACCGGACGAGCAGTCTTGGGGGTAGACTGTGCGACCAAATCACCAGTTATTTTTCGTACAGCAACACTTGGGTTGCTCGGCTTAGGCGGTGATGCCTGGTTCTTTTGGGCTCTCTTAACATGGGTCGAATCACCTACAGGGTTTCTGGGAACTACTGTTGTGTTCAGAGACCCTGAGCTGGGGGACCCGAGTTTGCTTCGGGAGTCTAATACCATCGACGTAATGATGGTGCTGAGCCTCGACACGACATCATTAGTGTTGATGGATGCTCCATCGATGGTACACCTGTCGACATCCCTATTTTTGTATCCGTCGCACGCTCTTGTTTGTCTTCCGGTTTTTTACTATCGTTATCCAAGTTAACTGAAAACTTGTTCCGGAGACCTGTCAGTAGGACAATGATGTTACTCAACAAGACTACAGCGTCCGTGCTGCACGTGACACATACCCACTTCTGCTCTGACTTGCTGAGTCTGTTGTAAGTAGTTGGTGTTAGATCTGTGCATGCTTCGTGGAACCAACCTTAGCAGTTGTCTCACTGCATGCCAGTTGTAACAGCAAAACGGCATTCCGGATGTCTGCACGAGTTTTGCATGACTATGTTGAAGCAAACTATGTTATAGATGCTTGCAAAAGCCTAAGACCTTTAAAAAACACTAAAAAGCACACTGAAAGCAGACAAAAATGGATAAAACGAGTGATATAAACTGAAACTAGTCTATGCGTGAAAAAAACCGAATAGTAAGCTGCGACGAAACCACAGGTAACTATTAAATATGGTGAAACTAAAAAAAGTAATCTACCGAACGTATAGCTCAGGATAGATTCTTT